ATCAGAAAGAAAAAGCAAATATATCACAATAACTGTACAAATTATACACTCAATACATTCAATATTTGAAACAAAAACAAAAAGAAGTTCAATTTATCTCTCATGCTTATAGGTGGAGGGGATGGATACTAGACCAGAACAACACAATGATTGTTAGTCAGGGCTTATAAACTCAAGTTGTGAGGTGTTGAATGTATTCAGTTGAATGCTTSATTAAAAAGTGTGATTTTAGTTGTTTTTTAAAGGAGTCAGTGTTACCAAGAGATCTTAGATAGGACGAAAGGGCGTTCCACAGTCTAGGAGCCATTGAGGAAAAGGCACAGTCACCACCCGTCTTGAAGCGAGTACGGGGGACCAAGAGAAGATTCTGGTCTTGTGAGCACAAGTTGAATCTGTAATGTAGACTAACAACATAAATTGGTTAAATTAAATTCAATTAAATTGGCCATTAATGCTGTTGTATAAAACTACAATATTAATGTGAAGATCTCAAACTATAAACCAACTTAAATTTTGCGTTAATTGAAGTTTGGAGACTTGGGGGTGGGGGTGGACTAGAGATGAATATGATTTAGATTTTTATTTCTGTGACTGCCCACAGGAGACACAACATTAACAGCAGTCATTATTTCATCCCTCTGCTTTAGCAGCTCCTTTAATTCCACAGCTGACACTGCTAAAAGACAGATTTTATCTTCTGGATCTCTGACAGCAGGACTTCAATCTCTGAACTCGTGAAGTTCTTTTTTTTACTTTGCGATGATGTCATTTATGAATGGACAGTTCCTGATATGTGGGGCAGGAAACATAGCCTTATATGGTGTTTTTGGAGTGGGAATTATGCTAATCTCCTCTCCTCGTGCGCAAGCACCTGGATACAAACAGGTGGCATTTATCAGTTTACGCAGCTCATTTACACAATTTTCCTGAAGATAGAAGAGTTTGTTGAATCTGACGTGACATGTTCATACTGTACGAACCCTTCGTATGAACTAAAGTTAGAGAAATTTAGGATAAGAACATGTTCTTGCACAAGGCCCATTCTTTCTTGAATGTATGTCTTGATTGTGGCTCACTGACAGCCCTCTGTGTTACGCGGCTGTGTGCGTTCAGAGCTGGTAACTGACAACCATCACAAAGCATTTTTGGGGAACAGAGTGTTAACGGTGACAGAGCTGACCACCAATGCAAATTCATAACAACAGCCTCCTAAAAGACACAGAGACAGCATCACGGTCTGAGCGTGAAGCAGATACTTGGCGACGCCTCATCAGGTTGCAGGATTGTGTGTGTGTGTGTGTGTGTGTGTGTGTGGGGGGGGGGGTCCGTGTTGCTCTGTTGTAGTCATATACAAAGGAAGAGGCAGACAGCCTCTGTGTCGTTGTCGTTATGAGGCTGTCGGCACAGCTGTAATTGAAATGCGCTGCATGTCGCTGACTGAAGGGACAATCTGTTAGCCATGTGTTTCTCTCACAGCCATGTAATGCGATTGGGCTCAGGCGGCAGCGACTTTATTTATATCCTTGTAAATAAAAAAAAGAGAAAAGAAAAGAACATGCCAGCAGTAAATAGGAAAACCCATGTGATCTCTAAGGAGAGGGGTTGGGCTGGGACGATTCATTGGGCTCTCTCATTGTATGTGGGGRCTATAGTTTTTTTTTTTTCGTGGATTCAGCAGCGCCTTTCATTCAGCTAAAAGGCTGCTTTAACACATGACATTACAGCTGTTACAAACATTAATTTCARCGCGGGGTCAGTTGCCGTAATGACTTATACATGACATGCTTTATCTTATTGACCTGACAGGCGATGCTGATTTATTGAAGAAACCGCTGTGTTGTCATGACGACGGAGGGTAATGGTGGGTGGCGGTCCTGCTTGAGATGGGGAGAGATGTAGTTTATCATTTGAGTTATATTGCTGTTATAGGTTTTCCATTAGGAAGAAAGATGGCTCCTCGTATTGACCCGCAACTTGTGTGAAAGTCTGCTTCAGTCACTCTGACTGAAAGAAACCAGCTTCCAACGGTGCTGCTCATGACAAATGGGAAACAGTGAAGTGAAGCCTGTGTGTGTGTGTGTGTGTGTGTGTGTGTATGTGTGTGTGTGTGTGTGTGTGTGTGATGGGATTGTATTATTACTCATGCATGTGTGATTCACATTACTCACTTTCATTGCATTATTAATATTATTTTGTTTTGGGCAGGATTGTGTGCGAGATGGCTGCGGCACCTGAAGGAAGCGCACCAGGTTCAGTTAAACTGTGTGTTGGTGAATGTAGACCGGAGCTGAGCGCACAGTCCTCGCAGCTCTACTCCTTTGTGGTAAATCTGCAACACGCACGCACGCACGCACGCACGCACACACACACACACACGTTTGTTCCAAAACAAACATTGTTTAGAGTGAAGTACCAAGGCCGAACATGCTTGATTGCAGGTGAAATCAAAGTAGTTTGATTTACAGAGAGTAGAGTTTAACTCACTGTTTGTGGTGCAAGTTATTGGCATTTTATAGGAAGTATGTTTTTTCTTTTTTTAAAATTATTATTTACCATTATTTCACCAGGTAAGTCCCGTTGAGATCACAGATCTCTTTTTCAAGGGAGGCCTAGGCCTGAAGGCAACCTATTGTACATGTTTTTGTGTTGTGGGGGAAACCAGAGTACCTGGAGAAAACCCATGCAAGCATGAAGAGAACATGCAAACTCCGCATAGAAAGACCCCAGGTCCGAACCGGGGATCGAACCCAGGACCTTCTTGCTGTGAGGCATCRGTGCTAACCACTGAGCCGTYRTCCTGCCAATATTCAAGGGGCAATATTATGTGTTTCTCAGGCATATATTTAAATACTRTACAATCATAAAGTGTCTATGTCACCTTTAGATGTTTTTAAAATGCTGTTTTTATGTTTAAAGAGAAAATAAACTTATCTTCTCATCATTTCCTCTTCTAAACACCTTGAAATTGGCCTCTGTCTCTAATAACCTCCTTCCGCTTCTGTCTCACCCATTTCAGTGCGGGGGTGGGGCTGCTATGATGCAGTTTACTTGGCATCTGAAAATACATTTCCTCAAAGGTATTTTGAATCTGAAAAGAGCTTCACTGAGTGAGATGTGTTAGGAGCTCAGCAGACAAAGTTTCACTTTCAGTTTCACCCGAGAGCCTGCAGGGGTCATAGGCGGGGTGTGTGTGTGCATGTGCTATGATGCAGTTTACTAGGCATCTGAAAATACATTTCCTCAAAGGTATTTTGAATCTGAAAAGAGCTTCACTGAGTGAGATGTGTTAGGAGCTCAGCAGACAGTTTAAGTTTCACTTTCAGTTTCACACGAGAGCCTGCAGGGGTCATAGGCGGGGTGTGTGTGTGTG